TATGTCTAAAGCAAGCCCTTTCTACGGCTGTCTCTCATCCACTCACTGTGGGAGGTAACACCGGAAACCCTAAAGTGGAGCTGTTCCATGGCTCCATTTTAATCAGTAAACCTCTCCCCAAAATGACACCTAATTAAACATCCTCTAGCAATATGGCAGGCAGTGCACTGGGTTTCTTCTTCAACTTTAGCTCGCCATGAAGGAGTCACTTTGGGAGCAGAACCTCAGGCTGCATTTGTAGTTTTGCTCTATTTGTAGCCAGGGGCTTTTCTTGGGGCTGGTGCTGCTAACCCACTGTTTCTCCCTGGTGCTGCAGACTCACCGGGGCTCACATTCTCTCACACCAGATCAGCCTCCTCCGTGGTCGGGCTGACAGGCCGGTTGGTCGGTTGGACCCTCTGCGGCTCCCTTGCCGAGAGGAACAAAAACACAGAGAGGACTTGGAGCCGGTGAGGGGGCTGCTGTCAAGGCGTGGAATCCACAGGCACAGAGTTGGCCAGGAGAGAATTCCATGTAAGTTTTAGGGTTGCGTTCTCTGGTTCTGTAAAGAATGCTGTCGATGCGCTGACTAGAATTGCATTTAATCTGTGTATCAATTTGAAAGTGCGGCCATTCGACTTTGCCATGAAATGAATATTGTTTTTTAAAAGAAATTCAAATAAATTCAGTTTTTTAAAAAAAAATCTTCTCATCGCAAAGTCTAAAATATCAATCAGACATATTGCAGAAAGGGGAAGTGTCATGATTTCATGTTTTAGGGGTCAACGTGGCGTGCTTGGTGTCGGACAAATGCTGATGGAGGTATGCCTGGGGGAGCTTGGATTATACTTTAATTTTAACCTTATAAAAAGGTAAGTGACTGATGTTCTAGAGGGAATGAAAAGGGCATGGAAGGTGCAGGGGTGAGCACGGGCTTGCCCACGGTAGGCAAGTGCTGTACCAGTGAACTACTCCAAGAGGGGTAGTTAAGAAGAGGAAGAGCTTAAAGATTTCAAGGCAGAAGGAAGCACATCAAGGGAGCAGAAAGAAACTTCACAGGATGGGGGATTTTTAAAGTGTTTTGAATGTGCTCTCCCATAAGAGGCTGTGGATGAGAGCATCATTCACAGAGAACAAAACAAACCGAATCAAGCATGTTTGGGAAACGGGAAATGGTCCGGCTGTGTTGGCACTTACAATAAAGACGTGCGCTAGAGAGTTAGTCCAGGCTGTTAGGGACCCTTGGGGATGAGCTCCACGCCTGCAGAGTCAGCTAAAAGCAATTCAAGACAAGATCTACCCTGGAAGCCAGCTTTCTTCACATAGGAGGGGAAATAAGTGATAAATAGCTGAGTTTCTTCAGAAGGAAAGTAACAGAAGAAAGATGGAAACTTGTTTTATCAACGTTAGAGGAAAAGACAAAACTAGAATGATGAAAAACAACTACATCCCGTGCTGAGGTCGGTGCTCCACATATTAAAACATTTTTCAATAACTCCTGTGTCAAGAGGAACTCCTATGAGACATTTAAACAGTGCTTCAGGACTGAACCAAAATAAAAATATCATATTATCAACCTGATTTTGCAATTACAAAACAAATGAGAATATTAGAAGTAGGAAAAACAAGTCACGAATGAGCAATGGGGGATTCCTAAGAGATGAAATCACGGCCCTCCGTTGGTACCTGAAGGCTAAGGTGGGCAGTGATGAACACTTTGTGGGTCTCTTCCTGGGGCCAGCCCCTCCTCTCCTCACACTGTCCCTTTCCCACTGACCCTGCCCTTGGACTGAGCACTCCCTTAGCTTGTTTACAGAGCATACACACTCAGCAATTAGGATCTTTCAACATTCGCAATGTCCTTGTGTTCCTTTGAAAGGGCACCCACACGGACTACCCGTCACATGGGACTCTCTAGGGCAAAATTTACATTTTTTTATACCTCAGACACACAGAGCATCAGAAGCTTTAATGGCTCCTCTCTTTCTAAAATTCAGTGGCCCTTTGTTCAATAAACCCAGAAAAGGGCAGCTAGCCAGCTTCTGGCCTTTGCTAGCGAACAGGCTGTGTCGAGCCATTCCTAGGGTGAAGGGATTCTCCAGGAGGCCCTGAGGCAGCTGCGTGTCATTTCCTGGGACAGAATCTCCAAGCTGAAAGTGTCTCAAAGTCCTCAAGTCTGGGACTTGATGGCATCAGCCTCCTCCCTGTAGGTGTCCAGTCCACCATTGTCCAGGACGGCTCTGGCCATCGTTGGGCAGCTCAGCCCCCATGGCTCACGGTTTCCAAGGTTGGGTGCAGAACCCTGGGATTGGGAGACAAACCGCAGCCATCTGTGTCTCAGAGCTGGTGGCACAGGGGACCGTGAGGAAGGCCTTTGTGCAGACATGAACCTACTTCCTGTTTCTTCTACTTGTTGCTTTCACTTCTTCTTTCATTCAATGATTGAATCATTCATGCAATAAGCGTTTACTTAGTACCTACTCTGTTTGTACCTTAGCCAATTTATCTCCCAGCTCTCCCCTTTGGGTCCTATAAGGACAAATCTGACCATTCTGCCACTTGGCCCTCAGCTCTCTGTAACAAATGCAAGATCTCCCATTCCTGATTCTTCATTAACTTAGTTCAAGCCCCCTTGCCATCTTGGTAGAGTCCTCCTTTTTTTCTTTTTTTCTTTTTTTTTTTTTTTTTGTACCAGGAATCAAACTCAGATCCTTGCACTTGGAACCACAGCTAAATCTCCAGCCCTAGAGTTGGTCCACATAGCTCCTGTCACCCTTAGGCACACTCTTTGGGTTCCTAGAGTGGAACTGCTGATGAGTTTAGTTTAAGAGGCTGCCAGTAGACAGCCCTGCAAACCTCCTTGCCCAGGACTCCTGTGAATTACGAAGCTCTTGCCACCATGCAGCCACGACAAGCCCTTGCCACCCTGCGTCCCATGTAGTCAGGGAGATGAGACAGCCCTGCAACTCCTGTGTGTAGAGGTGGGTGATAGTTTTTCAAGGCTCCAAATGCCCCACGTCCATGATCTCTGCTGTGGCAAAACCCTTCTGTGGGCACTGTGGCAGGACAAGGGACCCAGTGAGACACAGGGGACACCACTGCCTCTCAAAAAGCTAAACCGGGAGAGCTCGGTCCTATGACTCGGAGGAAGGGAAGGCCGCCAGGCATCAAAGAGACTATCTGGGACACAGAGCTAGGGAAGATCTGGGCAAAGAGGAAGAGAGAGTGTTCTCGAATACGGCAGGAGCCCAAGCAAACACTTCAAAGTGGAAAGGCACACAGTGGATTCAGGAAGAGCCGGCTGCAGCCTTGGGAGGACCAAGTTTGAACGACACAAAAACGCAAGCCTGGAAAACTAAACAAGCATTTTTAGACCCCAGACAGCTGAAGTCGGTGCTCATCTGTGTTAAAGAGGAAGCATGTCCCGTTTTCGAAACATCTCCCCCGGAGGCTTGAGAGCCTCTGTGCCCCGCACCAGAGTCACCTCACCAAAATGCATATCTCCAGGCCTAGCCAGAGTTTCTGATTCAGGGAGTCCGGCGTCAGGACCAGGGGTCTGTATTTCTGACAAGCTCCTGCGTGATCCTATGGCTGCAGTGGGGCTGGGGACCCCATGGAAAGGACAGATCCCTGCCGCGGGTGTAAATGAAAACGAGACAGCAGAACGACACCTGATGGAGTCCGAGGGCAGCCATTGTCTGAACGGTGGCCTTGAAAATCCACCCACGTGTGTGCTCTTTGGGATGACAAGAAGTTCTGTTTATTTTCCCAGCTCACTGCTTATCGCCAAGGTTTGTTCTCTGAGAACAGCTAAGATGGGAGAAGAAGGGAGGGACAAAAGAGGAAGCCCACACACTGTTTGTTAAGCCTGTGGAGAAGCAGAGAACAGATCAAGGTCAATGAATGACTACTAATTACCACCGATCGTGTGCCGGGAATTAGGCTTGGCGCTTAGCATGAAGCGTTTTAAGCTTTGTAAATTTTTATTAGTATATGCTTATAATACATTCTTAGGACATTCCTGGGAAACTGGTAATATGTATATCTTGGTCACTTTTACCTGAGCATCTCATTTCACTCTCTGTCCACACACACACACACACACGCACACACACACCTATATACTCAATGTACATACAACTACCGTATCCGACCACCTAAGTGCCATGAAGTTTTATACCATGCGCTCTACATATAATCAGTGTTCAGCCACACTGAAGAGTAGTTATGATGGTCCCACTGGAGGATAAAGAAAGCACACAACTTGGAGTGGTTGAGAAACTTGTGAGGGTTCACAACACTGGAAAGAGCACAAGGCCTGGAACGTCAGCCCACATCTGCCTGACTGCCAACCCCACATTCTTTAAGGAACTCGAAAGAGGAAGCTGGACACCGAGCCAGGCTGGACAGCAGCCTCCGGGACATCTGTTCAGTGTATCCAGCAAACAGACCCTGAGTCCCTGCTCTGGGGCACGGACTCACTTGAAGAGCCACGAACGCAGCAGGGGGCAGAACAGGGCCCCCTGGTGGTGTCTGGGCGGATGACAGAGATCACCGAAGGGTCCCTTCAGGAAAGTGAGTCCGGTGTCCAATTTGCACCCTGAGCATGGGACGCTGAATCTCCACTTCGTGGGCTCCTGAGTCTGCAGGGAGGGAAAGGAAGAGCAGACAGAGGAAATCAGCGGATGTCCGGATAAGAGATGGACAGGGTAGGACAATAGTGTGAAGGACAGGTCTGCCACAAAGTGGACACACAGACCCGAGGGCTCCTTGTCCGCAGTTCCACCCTCAGCCGTGACATTCCATATCCAGGAGTCCTGGCACAGGGCCCCCGCTGTCATTCACGGAACACTGCCAACACAGGGTAAAGTGAGTCACCAGGCGGGGATGCCCGGAAGGGCCGATCCCCTCCTCCGCATTCCGTTGTCTCTGAGGAATCGCCTGATAGTCAGGTATGCGGCTTAGCTGGGAGTGGCCCACCTCACGCATGCGCAGTCCTCGCTCTCTGGCGACCCCGGTACCTGTTGACCTTGTCCGGAAACCTGAGCTCCACGTCCAGCAGCGCCTGGTGCTCCTGGTTCTGCCGCTCCGGGTCAGCCTGGATCTCCACCAGCTGCGACTCCATGTTGATGATCAGGCCCTGCATCTGGGCCAGCTGCCGGCCATAGCGGGCCTTGGTCCCCACCAGCATGTTATCCAAGGAGTCCCTCTCAGGTGAAAGAGGACCCAGCTGTGAGGAGTGAGCTACTTACCACAGTTCATGTACTGATTCAGAAAGAACCGAGAACGCTAAGTCTCCATCTGTGTGGGGCATGATCCTTCCCTACATATCTCAAGAAAAGAAAAATAAATGTGGAGAACTCATAGCTCTGATTTCAAAAGTTAGCACAAAGCTATATTTATCAAAAGAGTGTGGGGCTGAAACAGAGGCAGACTTCAGACCAATAGAATAGAACTGGCATCTCAGAAATACATAATCCTCACCTCCATGATAGAATGGCTTCTGTCAAGGGTCTCCTACAAGGATGCCAGTGAAGCCAAAAGGCCTAACAGAATGAGTATGCCAGGCAGTGCGAGCAGTCCCACTTGAAATGCCAACAGCCTTTCCCACAGACTACAAAAAACAATCCTGAAATTCTTATGGTACCGGAAGAGACCCAGAATAGCAGAAGAAATCCTGGTCAACAACAGCAAAGCGGGGAGTATCATAATCTCTGCCTTGAAATTATATTGCAAAGTTGCAGTGATAAGAACAGCATGGCACTGGCACAAAAACAGACATGAGGATCAGTGGAACAGAACAGAAGATGCCCAGACAACCGCTGGCACGCTTAGCTGTCTGATCTTTGACAAAGGAGCTCTGAGGCAGATCCAGGCAGGGTGGTCCAGCCCTAATCCCACAGCCCAGAGCCCAGCAGCTGTGGGAAGGCACCTCACCTGGGTCTCTGACCCCTGCCATCCCTAATTCTCAGCCAGGGAAGAATTAATTAATGTCCTCTGATCGTCTGCAGGAATAGACAGTGATGTGAGGCTCATTGTCATGGGGCTTGGGGAAAACAATATACAAGGGGTGGTGACTCCAAGCGGCAATGAAAACTCTGTAGACGATGCTTTGGAGCTTGCATCACTGAGGGTAACGGGGGGCTCCCTAATTGCAGAGCCCCTCCGGTGCCAGGAACCCACAGGAAGAGAGGAGACCAAGCTCTTTGGCCTCCAAATAACCTTCCACATGAGGATTTGCTAGTGCTGTCATTCTCTGAGCCTCAGTTTCCTCAGGTATAAAATGGGACCACTGCCAAGTGTGGTGTCACACTCTGTAAGCCCAGGACTCTGGGAGAGAGAGGAAGGAGGACGTCTAGTGTCTTTGACCCAAGTAGTGAAACCAGAACGACATCCAGTCAGGGCACCTGCTCTGCCTTGTATGCACAGTGACACAAGTGACCATTTTGGTCTCCCTCACATGTTATCCTTCAAATACATGAACAGTTCTGCAGCTGTGGTGAGAGTTGCCAAGATAAATGCACATCACATAACCTTGTGTGCATCCTCCTGAAAAATGTAAAACTATAGCCCACAAAAATAACCATTGCCGCCTTGCTGTCAACATCAGCATCCTAGTCCACTAGATTGCATTACACAGTGACTCATTAATCCTCTCTGACAACTATGCCTCAATGTCCTCTGCCATTTCAACTCATTTAATCCTGACAGTCGCTGGAAGAGGAACGTGTGCCACCTTTAGAACTGCAGCCTCTCCTGAGAGTTCACAGCAAATGTCCTCAGCCACAGGCAAGGTCAGCTCCTCACCAATAGTAAAGGGCTTCTTAGCTTTAGCAATGTGGCCAACCACTGAGGCTGATGCCCTCAGGGCTGGGGATGTAGCTCAGTGGCACCACACCTGAATCACAAGTGCAAGGTCCTGAGCTCAACCTCTGGAACCACAAAAAAAAAAAAAAAAAAAAAAAAAAAAAAAAAAAAATCTCAGTGTGTGCAGATGCATTTGATGAAGTGATGGCCTTCAGTAACTGTTTCTGATCTTCATCTTCTCCTTTTCTTTAAAAACCCAAAAGCTTGGGTCAGGGATTTAGCTCAGTGGTTCGGTGGCCTACCTTGTAAGTGCAAGGACCCAAGTTCAATCCCTGGTACAAAAAAAAAAAAACCCCCGAAAGCTTGTCTTTTAATGCAGAGTGCTTAGTCTCCATATAGCAAGAGTTGTAAAGTTTCGTGGCTTTGCTGGATAGCCAGTTGCCACATATTATGCACAGTGGGGTTGAAGAATGTGAATCATCTGTTGTTGTGAACCCATAATTTAAGTAGGACTCTGGTATTTTCCTTTAAATGCAACTTTTTTTCTTTTCTTTTTTTTTTTTTTTTTTTTTTTTGAGACAGGGTCTCACTATGTAGTTGAGACTGACCTAGATCTATGTATCCCAGGCTGGTCTTGAACTCACAGGGATCCTCCTACCTCAGCCACCAAGTGCTGGAATTACAGGCGTGTGCCACCACACCCAGCTGCAACTTTCTTTTTGTTGGCATCTCAGAGGCTTTTGCAGTCTCATCCTTAGGTCCACCCCCTTTCAAAGAAGCTCCCCAGTGATGTCTGTTTTTTACTCATTTTGGAGAGGGTTAGCTCACTCGTGGGCTACTCAGACTGTGACTGAGACAAGTGTGCCAGGTGGCAAAAGCCATAGACAGGACATGCATGGATAAAGTGTCTGATTCTGGTTTAAAGCTGCCACCAGGGACAGCTACACATTTGAACTACAGCGACTTACTTGCCACTGTAAAGCCTGCCACCAGATGCAGCTTGATTGTCACTCACCACTAACTGAAGGGGTTTGGATGAGTCTCAAGCAATTGATTTATCACAGTCTTAGTGCAGTGAAATCGCTCTGCTAATGTTAATCTGTATCTGCAGCTGCTCCCCAGTGCTAGCCTCACTGCCTCAGCTCCACCTCAGATCATCAGGCATTAGATTTGCCCCAGGAGCCACAGCCTAGATCCCCTCACAGTAGGGTTGATGATACCCATCAAGTTCGCAGCAGAATTGGGATTCTTGCCCAGGGTTTCCGGAGCCAATGACTCTGATCTTTTCCATTGTGTGAGACGCCCATTTGTACCGGTGTTTACTTTCCATGGCTAAGAGAGACTACTATTTAGGAGATAGAGTTAGCTTGGCCGGTGGTTCTAAAAAATAGGCAACAAAAGATCTCAAAAACTTTCTGTTTAACTACATGGAGATCATTGTGTTCAAGTGTTTTTTTTCAAAACCCAAAAAACAGAATTGTTTTATTATTAATGATTTCCCCAGTTATAGCCTAGAAGAGCCCTTTTTTGTCATACTGTAAAAGTTTTCCAAACATTGAGGGGAAAAAATGTATTCAGTGCAAATCAGGGTCCACAAAGCACCTACATCCCGGCCACTGTGCCCTGCTGCTGGGCCTTTCGGGAAGCATCACCCTCCGGCCAGGCTTCCTGGAGAAACAGTTCTAGCCTCCACTGCCATCCCAAGAGGAAGGGCCAGACTTCTAGTGACTCCCAGGAAGGTTGCGTCTTTGAAAAGCACATCATTTCTTCCCTAATCCCACCTGACACCTACGGGATTTCCTCCGAACATCAGATCCAAGTTTTCATTATCTTCTTGTGGCCCTGCCTGCATCTCCCTGTAGACTAAGGTTAGTTAAATCCAAGTATTTCTTCGGATGGTGGAGTTCCTCTGAGACTCTCCCTATGTGGGGCCCTCCAGGAGCCCTGGTGCCGGTGGGGCCATGTGTTTCCCAAAGTCTACCCCCGCTTCTTCACCCATGTATAAGTGAGACAGGCCGGGCAGGAGGACAGCCTTGCTTTACCCGTCACTTGGTCCCACACGGGCTGCAAGGCATGGTTTCCTATAAAAAGCTTTATAAGCAGTTGGGTGGTCAGGCGGGCCTTGGCAAGTTGCAGTAACATACAGGTATGCAAACAAGGGCTGAGTGAAGGGCCCGATATACGCTGGGAGAAAGGAAGGATCCTGGGACCCAGATTCCTGGCCTGCAGCTCCTGTCTCTGCTCAGCCCTTCGCCACAGCCTAAGAGGTGGAGATTCTGAGATTAGCAATTGCTATGTTTGAAAGGGAGCTATGTTCCCAGGGAAGCCTTACAGCACCTCATTGTTAGGGAAATGAAGAAGCAGAAGAAAGGGGAATATTTATTAGCCTGAAAACACAATAAACCTCAGTGCTGGGAGAAAACATAAAGAGCTGCAGGGTTTGGCGTCCAAACCCTTGGCTTCAGTTCCCACCTGCTGTTCTGTGTCTGTGAGCACATCTTTCCTTCCCCCCGGGTCTCAGACTCCTTGTCTGTAAAATGGGAGAGGCTCGGCCAGATCGCTGGAGAAACACCTTCTTCTCGTCCAAAGGTCTGGTAGGATCTTCTGCAACACTGGTCCTGTTCTAACTCTGACACCATCAGCTCCATGGGCCCAGCGCAACTAAGAAACTGATTTGTTCCCGCTTTATCTCATATTACTTAATTAACAATTCATTATCTCTATGTAATTAGTGGCTACCATACTAGACAGAATGGGGCTAGGGTTCTAGGGATAAAAATCTGGTCTGTCCTATCGAATGTGTTTGTCAGGTAAAGAACGTGGAGGAGACACTTTACCCAGAAAGCATTGCTGCTTAGCACACAATTACCCAGAAGCCCCCTGGCCCAGCACTGCAGGGCACTGACACTTTACCCACCCACCCACTAGGAGCCACGGCGGAACATTCATGTCTCTGCTGTCAGGCCAGCAGCCCTGAGTGCCAGGCAGACCTGCAGGATCCTGTCCCAGGAGCCCCAGGCAGCTTCAGATCCAACCCACTTTCCATCACTTCTTGGCAAGGCCAAAGGGCAGATACTTAATAGAAACATCATCTCAGCTCATTAAGGAAGAGCTGTGCGTGGGAGGGGAGGTTCGGAGTGGGTTCTCTCTCCTCGTCCCCCGCCGTGGCCAGTCCTTCCCTGTGTCTCACACACTGAGTCCCAACTCTTCCTGGCCACTGCCACTGTCTTTGCTGAGACCCTGTTAGCGGTCTCCCCCTGCCTCCCTGCTGCCTCGGCGATGCTCCTCCATGATGCTCTCTACAATACCACCCTGGTCTTGTCATCCTTGGGCTCGAATCCTGCCACAGCCCTCCCACTGCTTTGGAGAAGGTCCAGGCTCTTCCTGAGGTCCCCGAGGCCCCCCACGATCCAACGCCTCCCTCCCACTTGAGTCTGCCCATCAGTCTCCCTCACAGGAACCTGCGGCTCGAGCCAGCGGGGCCACCGCGGCCTCTGCATGTGACCACTGGCTCCCTGCAGACCCCACACAGGCACGGACCTGCCCAGGGGCCCTAGAGCCCCTTCCGACTCCACAGCCCAAGGCAAACTCTACCAGCTGCAAGAAGCCTCTGGGGTCCCCTGAGCGAGTCTCCTCTCCCTCTAGGTGCTAGTGTTGACTTTCTGCATAGAAACTGGGGGTGCGGCATGAATGTCAAAATAACACTGCATGTGACTGGACTTGAGTGCAAATCTTTGTCCTTGCACATAACCCTGGGCAGCTGACTGAACCTCTCTCGGTTCCTCTGTTCCCCAGGTCTGAAATGAAGACCAGGCCAACCTTGCAAGGTGGTCGTAGAAACCAAGGTAAATGTTATGAGATGCTCAGCAAGGTTGTTGGGTGTCCAGTGGACCCTTGACTTACAAACTCAATTAGTTCCCAAGGGCTGGTTGTAACTCAGGTTGGTCAGTGAAGGCTCAGGCTCCTCCACACGACCCTCCAAGTCTCTCTCCTGCACACAGGCGGATCTCAGCGTCCTAGAGATGCTGGCCCAGGATTCCTCAGTGAACCCCACACGGGAGAGGACACTGTAAATGCTCCTTGCAGAGGTCTTTAAGGGCTAAATCTGTATCTGAGACCATCTGGAAGCACAAGCGACCGGCATTCGGGTCTAACTCAAGACTTTGGTCATAAGTTAAAACTAAAACTCATCGTAACCCAAGTTGTTCATATGTCAGGTCGGCTGTAACTCTAGGGTCCACTGCACCATAAATGCTCAGTAAGTGGTCGTGACTGCCTTTGCTGGTATTATTATCATTATCAATGTTACCGTGCTCCGCGCCCCTCACTGAGGAGGGAGGGCCTTGTGTGCACCAACTTAGCTCGCCTAGTTCCGCACATCCCGACGTGGGGCTCCCTTGCACTTTTTGGCTTCCCCTGAGCCCAGCAGTAGCCTGCAAGGAGTGAGGCTGCCTACGAACAGACAGCAACTCCGGCCCTTGAAGTCCTCGGTTGGAGCCCCAGTCCCACTAGTTCCTGCTGTGCAACTTTGAGTAAGGCTCTCAGCCTCGGTGTCCTCATTTATAACACGGAGGAGATAACGGCACCTTTCTTGTGGGTCACTGTCAGGGTTAAGTGAGGCGCCAGGGCCCAGCCCTGGGCCTGCCGGCCTCGAAGGCAGAACCTGCACCTCCTAGCACTCAGGGAAGAGTCCCCGGCCGTACGGGCGCGTGAAAGATTGAGCGGGTGGATGATGCCATTGCGGCAGCTGTAACGAGTCAGCGTGGGTTTATTGCAGAACTATTCTCAAGTACGCCACGGTCAGGCCTCGGCTGCTGGCAGAGTCATCCGCTCTCCTCTTTGTTCCGCTGTTGCTTGGCTGTGGTTTAACTGGATGATGGCATGCGGGCCTTTTTCCGGAACGCCATTCAAGCCCCTAGAGAGGACGGAAGGGGCCCGACCACCCCCAGGAATCTGGGCCGGGCTTTGGGTGCAGCAGCGAGAGCTGCGAGTGGACAAAGATGGACTTGCAGGCCTGTTGCAAGAGGTTTTATTTACCTGACCTCTCCGAGGGGCACAGAGGGCATTGCGGAAAGTCCACGTCCAGGACCTGCCCTTCGGGCGCCCACCGGACCGCCGCCGTGGAGCTCCGCAGGAGGAGGAGGCGCCAGGGACTTCAGAAGCGGCCCAGCACGCAGGGTGCGCGGACAGCGTGAGGCGCGCAGTCC